CTCCCCGCTCCACTCCAGGGATCCACTGACCATCCCCCGGCACCACCCTGCCCCCCGCCCTGGGGATCCACTGCCCGGCCTCTACCCAGAGCCTTTCATCAAACCCTAGCAGGATGCCAGCCCCCGAGGGGCACATGAGAAGGGGCAATTGGGGTGTGTCAGTGGGAGGAACAGCTCCTTCCCCCTGGGCCAGCCAGCGCCATCGTCCTGTAACCCAGCAGGGCAGGTGCGCGAGGGGCACAGCGCTGTATGGGGCAGGGCTGTGACTCCCATGAGAAATGGCCGTGGCTCAGGCTGGCAGTGGCAAGGGAAGGGGCAGCCCCCCTGGGCATCTCGGGATGTGGCAGGGGTGCTCCATGGAGCTCCTGCCTTGGCAGGAGGGAGCGGGGGCAGGGCAGGGCCCGGGGGTGGGGGCATTACCAAGCGCCCAGCCTCGTTGTTGTGCAGGTCGATGAGGGTGCGGATGTCGCTCTTGCCCTTCTTCCGTTTGGCGTCCATGAACTGCCGGGACTTCTCGTAGCCGAACTCCACGTCGTCCCCGCAGCCACCCCACTCCCAGGCAGAGCCCTCGGCACCCGGGCCGGCCGTGGGCAGGGGAGGCGCCCGGCTCCGCGTCGCCGCACAGCTGCACTGCAGCAGCTCCCCCATGCTGCAGGCCTGGGTGATGGCGTGCAGGGGGTTCCATGTCGCAGGGGGTGCTGTGCTGCAGGGGGTGCTATGGTGCAGGGGGTTCCATGTCGCAGGGGGTGCTGTGCTGCAGGGGGTGCTATGGTGCAGGGGGTTCCATGTCGCAGGGGGTGCTGTGCTGCAGGGGGTGCTATGGTGCAGGGGGTTCCATGTGGCAGGGGGTGCTGTGCTGCAGGGGGTGCTATGGTGCAGGGGGTTCCATGTCGCAGGGGGTTCTGTGCTGCAGGGGGTGCTATGGTGCAGGGGCTGCTGTGCTGCAGCTGGCGCTGTGGTGAAGGGGGCGCTGTGCAGCAGGGGGCGCTGTGGTGCAGGGGCTGCTGTGCAGCAGGGGGCGCTATGGTGCAGGGGGTGCTGTGCAGCAGGGGGCACTATGCTCTGTGCTGCAGGGGGTGCTATGGTGCAGGGGGTTCCATGTCGCAGGGGGTTCTGTGCTGCAGGGGGTGCTATGGTGCAGGGGGTTCCATGTCGCAGGGGGTTCTGTGCTGCAGGGGGTGCTATGGTGCAGGGGGTTCCATGTCGCAGGGGGTTCTGTGCTGCAGGGGGTGCTATGGTGCAGGGGGTTCCATGTCGCAGGGGGTTCTGTGCTGCAGGGGGTGCTATGGTGCAGGGGGTTCCATGTCGCAGGGGGTTCTGTGCTGCAGGGGGTGCTATGGTGCAGGGGGTTCCATGTCGCAAGGGGTGCTGTGCTGCAGGGGGTGCTGTGCTGCAGGGGGTTCCATGTCGCAGGGGGTTCTGTGCTGCAGGGGGTGCTATGGTGCAGGGGGTTCCATGTCGCAAGGGGTGCTGTGCTGCAGGGGGTGCTGTGCTGCAGGGGGTTCCATGTCGCAGGGGGTTCTGTGCAGCAGAGGATGCTGTGCCACAGGGGGTGCTGACGGGCTGGGCAATTTCCCAGGGGCTGGAAAGTGATTCTGCTTCCTGGCCTGGGCAGTGCCACTCACCCGTCCCCCTTTCCCACCTGTCCTTTGCGCTGCCCCAGAGGTGGCTGCTTGTCCCCTGTGCCAGGAGAGGGGTAGGGGACCCTTGTGTCTGGTTTGCAATGGTATGTGCCACAAGAAAGGTACTTGGGAAAGCTGCAGGGCCTGTGCCCCCCCCTCCAGGGGGATCACTCCTTGCACTTAGCCCTGGGGGTGTTTGGGGGGCAGGCTGACGGGGGACAGGGGCTCAAGGCTGGAGCTGTGGGGAGGGCTGCACTCATGCCCTGAGATGGGATGGCAGCTATGCGATGCTGCAGCTTGTCCACCTCGCCCAGGTTTCTTTTGCTCTCCTAGCCCCTGCCCCCCCAGGGAGGGTTAATCCTGCCCCATCCCCAGGGCACCTTTTAGCACCAGCAAGGGAGCCCAGAGACAGATGTCACCAGAGGCGGACCCCTTGTGCAGCACCTCCGCCACGTGGAATCTCCACATCGCTTGCCCTTCTGCCCCTGCCTCTCTGAGTCCTGAAAAGTCTGGGTCCCCACCTCCAGCTAAGCGACTCCCCACTGGATGCAAGCAGTACAGGGCTTTTGACCACAGCTGAAGAGTTCTGAGGGCAGCCTACAGCAGGCGGGGTGATTAGCTCCGTGCTGTAACCTGCCTCCCTGTCAGCACCGGGACAGTGCCGACTCTGAGCCCTGGGGGGCGCCAGGGAGCTGGTGGCCC